GTCCGAGCACGCACACGTCAGCGCACGTCCGAACACGCTCACGTCAGCGCACGTCCACGTTGGAGCACAAGACCGCCTCGCTCGGCTCACAGATGGGAAAGCTTAGAGGGAACCCTGCTCCCTGCCCTGCCAAGCAGCAGGAAAAGCCTCCAGGAAGCGCCAGGGGAGGGGGAAGGGGAGCAGCAGCATGTGCAGCCACTTCTTCCCCACAAGCCGGATCTGGCGGGGAGCCTCGGGGCTCTCTCCCCACCCCCCACAGGAAGCCGGCGCTGGCTCCCCAAGGGCACTGGGGGGGGGGGGGGGGGGGGGGGGGGGGAGCAGGATGGCTGCCCTGCTGCGGGGGAGCAGCTGAGCTGAGCTGGAGCTGAAAGAGAGCCATAGGCTGCCGACCCCTGGCCTAGGAAGTGGCTTTCGTGGCCAGAGAGCAGCGTGATGACGTCATTCTGCCGTGCAGCAGGAAAAACTTTTTTATACACAGAGAGAGATTTAACTAGTTGTGCTATTCACGCTGGCTTCGGTGGGCGGCTGTAGGCCAGAGCATCTAGCCAAGCGCGAGAAGCAGCTGTTTGCCCTTCTCCGGGACACCCTCTGGGAACACAAAGGACTTACCGGGATTCCAGGGAAGCCGGAAGATCCCCATGGACCGGGTGGGCCGACATCACCCTGCAAAAGTGACAGACGCTCAGCTGACAACGTATAGCAGGAAAACGTGGGAACCACCCCTGGGTGCCCCTGGAACTGGGTCACCCCGTTCAGAGTCTTGGAGTTTAGAACATGCACTGAACCTCCAAGCTACAGAGGGATTCTGCAGCCCTCAGCACAAGGAAGGACCATCACTAACACAAACACCTGGCCCACAGTCAGCTGACAAACACACTGCACCTTAAACAATTAAATCGCAACCCAATTCGGTCTGTAGAAAGGAAATGGAGATTAAACAACTTGACCAAGGTCAAAGAGCACATCAGTGTCACTCAGGACTGGCCTCGACCTCTGATTCCCAGTTCTCTGGTCTAACACTAGTCTCTCTGGAAGCACAGGGGCTGCATGCGCTGATATACAATCAAAGCCATCTCTCATTTTTCTACCTGCTGGTGTGTTTTTGCAGAGATGAGGCAGATTTTTGCAACCGCAACAAAAAGAGTGCCAAAAACGCACCCAATTCCATGCAGTAACATCACTGCTGCCGGCATTTCTTTGTCTCTTGGGCCAAGACATTCCTGCATTCCTCCCCTTGCGGGACCACCCCAGGCTGGGAACTGACCGTGGCAGAATATATCATTCCGCCCTCTTCTTCCCAGCACTGGAACGGAGAGCTAGTGCCAGCGAACTGCCGGGTAAGCCAGCTGGGGCAGCTGCAGAACAATTCACCCCAGAAGGAGAGGACAAGTTGAGGTCTTTTACCTGCTCTCCCTTTGGTCCTGGCCTTCCAGGAGCACCTCTGGTCCCCTGCTTGCCCTATGACACAGACAGGCATTGAGTGAGCATTAGAGGAGTTTCAAGAGGCAGGAGAGGGAAGGGAAAGAAAAGAAAGAAATCACAATACATGCCTTGAAGCCATCGTCTCCTCGAGGGCCGTGATAGCCTCTGCTGCCCCTCTCACCCTAGAAGGGCCAACCACAGACAGGAATTGGTAATGGTAGAGACAACAAAACTCAATCGCCCTATGGGAGCCGGAGGGTGAGCTGCTGTGGAGCTGAGATACCAGAGCCTTCCGTCAGGTCAGTTACTAAATTAAGTAGGACACAGCCAAGAAGTGAGGTTTGCCTGGCTCTCAGGACAGGGGGTTCTGAGACCAAAGGAATTAAGGCAGATGATCAGCAGGGCAGGTTTTGCTGTGTTTTAAGTATTGATGGATCTTGATCATGTTCCCAGGACAGCTGCTGTAATCGGGGAGGCGAAGAGACTGAAAATCCTCCCTAGGAGGTGAGCAATCCACACAAGTGCATGACACGCCAGGAGGAAGGAAAGTGCAGAAATGAACAGGAGGCCTCGATTCAGCCAACTTCCCTGAGGGCAAAGGCTCTTCTCTTCCATTGAGCGGTCCGTGGCAAACAGCCCGACCTCATCCCCCGAAAGAAGAGTTGTGCTAACAGGGGCAGAGTCAACATGAATCAGCCAAGCAGGGCCAGACAGTTCGAAGCAGAGTGAAGAACAGAACCGGTGCGGGGATGCTGACAAGCGCAGCTGGCTGAAAACATTCTGGAAAGTGCTTTTGTTTTTCAGAGGGATTTCTGGGTTTTTTTACAGGACGTGTTTTACAATAAAACAAATCCTTGGGATAAAAATGTCTTTTATCAAAACATGTTGGCAACCCAAAATCCAGGGAGGAGGGTGAGGTCCGGGTGAGAGGCAGGTGCAGACGTGGGCTGGGGGTGCGGGGTCTGAGCAGGATGGAGTGCAGGGTCTGGGTAGGAGGTAGGGTGCAGGATGGGCTGGGGGTGCAGAGCGGGTTGGGGGGATCTGGAAAGGAAGGTGCAGGAGCAGGGTGGGGGTGCAGGCGCTGGGTAGGAGGCAGGAGAGGGCAGGGGATCGGGGCGCCTACGTGGCCCAGCTCCCAGAAACACACGTGGCTCTGCATGCTACCGGCACATGCTCCCTCCAGCACAGCCCCCCATCACTCCCATTGGCCGGGATTCCTGGCCAATGAAAGCGACGGGGGTGCCCGTGTGCACCTGCAGGGAGCATGTGCTGGCAGTGCACAGAGCCATGTGGCGCTGCATCCTTCCCCCTGCCAGGCAGAGCCTGTGGTTCGCTCTGATCGGGCCTGCGAGGGTCGGGGCTCCCCCCTCCCTCCAGCAGCACGAGTCAGCTGGCGCTCCGGCCCGGCACCCCTCATCATGGCTGGAGGCGAGAAGGGGACAGAATACGCAGCTTTCCCCAATATGCTACTGCCAACTAGAATCATACTCCACCCGGGCACAGCCCCCAGAACACAGTGCTCAAGTGCACTACGTACCTTCTGCCCTTTTGGGCCCTGGTCTCCCTTCACCCCTTTCAGGCCAGGAATCCCCTGTGGGGGAAAAATGCAGCATCCATGTATCTCCATCACATGTGACTCGCTGACGGCTGTCGATTTGCTAAGCCCTCTGCTAGGCAGCAGCACTTCCAGGGGGCGGACGGTCGCCCCGCAAAGACCAGTCTTGCCAGCCCCTGTTGGCTGCCATTCAAGCGGCTTGAAATGTTATGAACGGTGTGCGCTTGCTGCGATGTCGTTTATAGGAACAAAGATTTTCAACAGGGAAAATACATTTTCCATCCACATGTTCACGTTCTTTGACCAATCAGTTCTGGAGCTGAACTTTTTTAGTTTAGTGACAATTGTTTTGTTGAAATTTCAATGTTTTTCATTATTTGGAAAAACTAGTAAAGTTAATTAAAACTCGCACTCCAGCTCACAACCAGCTCTAGCTGCCACATCTTGGCCCCATCCCCGGAAGTGCTGTCTTCCCAGAGGGCACATCTGGAATGTGATCACACCATCCACCCGACAGACCCATCCCCAAGGCTGGGATGCTTTTCTCAAAAACCACAGCTAGTCAGAAAATTCAGGGCCGCGAGATGCACAGAGTTTAATGAAATGTTGATTTTCATCATGATTTTATTTTTCTCCCCATTGTCTGATCACGCTGGGCATGCGCGACGGGAGGAATGTTAGTTTGCGGAATCCAGCTAATATTAAGTTTAGCCTCAATCAGTTTATGAACTGGATTATATGATGGGGTGTTTATATCAGTGGGGGACTTGGCTCACCCTGGCAGTCTCTTCCAGCCCCACGTCTGGTCATTTGCAAAAACAACGAGGGTGCCTTAAGGACGGACATTGGGTATCAGCTTTCGTGGGTAAAAGTCACGTTGTCAAATGCATCTGAGGACGTGTTTCTTCACCCCCAAAAGCTGATGCCCAAATGGTCACAAAGCTGTTCAGATGCAGTCTGCTCGGCTGCCTCCCTAAGGCGCTGTCCGGCACTAGCCTGTATTATTAACTGTGTTTATTATGGTTGTGCACAGGGTAGAGCCCTGAGCGGGACTAGTGTATCCTGCTGCCATAATAGCAGGAGCGGGATTAAAAAAAATGTTCTGTGCTTGGCTCTAGCCTATGGGCCAACACCACGAATGGAGCCCCCCTGTGCTAGCCTGGGTCCTGCTCTCAGGTTACCCGGAGTAACTCCACTGAAGGGGGCACTACAGGGGTGTCAGGCCAGGAAGTATCAGCCCCAGGGTGCTGGGAGAGCACAGGGCTCCGAGCCTTCTCCGAGACAAAGGTCCGGGGCTCTCTGGCTTTTGTACAGCAACTTGCACACCAGGATCCCGGTCCATGCGGAGCCAGGAGTTGAACTGCACTCTCCTGAGTGCCTCACCCACAGGGCTGCCCTTCCTTTCTCAGAAACCCTAGCGACATCGTGTGCTCTGTGCCTGGAAAGGGTCGGCTTCTAGGGCCAGAAGGGACCACCAGGATCAATGCATCTGACCTCCAACGGGGATTTAAAACGGGTCAGCAACAGAGCAGGCTCAGAGGAGGCACCTACCCCGACGGGCTGCCTCTGTGCCAATACTCACGGAAGGTCCTTGTGGGCCGCGTGGTCCCTCTGAGCCTGGTTCACCGGGCTGGCCCTGGAAGGCAGAAGGAGAAGAGAGCCCACCCAGTGTCACAGGAAGGCGTCCAGGCCGGTTCGGGTGCAGAAGGAAGCCGAGGATCGCGGCGATGGTGCAAGTGCTGGACACGTGGGAACGGGCCCGGGCACTCAGGCCAGAGCTGTCCTGTCAGTGGGATGGTTTGGGATGGCTGCACCAGGCCCGGTGCTTTGGGGGGCCTAGCATGGGGCAGCAGCAGCCTGGTGCCAGGGGTCAGGCCGCCCCACGCTCACCCGGTGGTGGGAGCCACAGGCCGTGGAGCGACGCAGTAGCCCCCTCCCAGTTGGGCCACTCCACTTCACCGCGACAGCAGCCTGTGCAGTGCCCTGGCTCCGGCCCAGCCCGTGACGCGGGCTCATGGGAGCAGGCTGGGGCCAGGGCCCGCAGCCGCAGTGAAGAGGAGCTACCCGGCTGGGAGAGGGCAGTGAAGTGGAGCAGGCTGCCGGCTCATTCTGGCTCCCGCTGCCATGGTGAGTGTGGGGGGGCCTGACCCCAGACCCCTCGCTTGTCTCTCTCGGGGGAGGGGGCCCCGGAGGAGGGTGCGAGGAGGCAGGGCAGGGGTGGAGTGGGGGCAGGACAGGGATGGAGCTGGGGTGGGTTGTCCCAGGCCCTGATTCCGGACAGCCTTGATCCAGGCTTTAGGTAAGAGGAGGAGCGAAGGTTTTGCCCCAGACGATTCTACGGAGGAGGAGCCGGGACAGATACTGTCTGAAAGAAGTGGGGAGAGTGAGAGGAGCAGGACTCGCTGCTCCAGGAGCCACCTACGGCAGCTAGGTGCTTCCCCCCTTTCTCTACTGGTGCCTCCCTCGCCTTGCCACATGGACACGCCAGCTTTCAGCAGCCTCTCCACCTCCTGCTGCTTCAGGGCTGCGAACCCCCCGCCCAGGGGAGAGAGAAATCCCAGAGACGGCTCAGCCACGGCACGGCGAAGGCAAGCATCTCACATGCTTGGGGGTATCAGCTCAGTTCTGGGGACCAGATTCCCCCCAAGCAGTGATGAGCATGGGGTGTAGGAGCCCCAGTGACCCTGACAGCTGTGCAGGTGGGCACTGTGGGGCCCAGGGAGCTGCTCCCCCTCCTGGAACCGTTGAAAGGGCGGGATGGAAAGCAGATCCTGTCCATGCAGCGACCCCTGGGAGCCTGGAACCAGCTAGGACGACAGGAAAATCCGTCCCCCTTTGCTCTGGGGCTGAACAGACCCAGGCGTCGCGCTGGCGTGACAGGCCAAGGAGAAGTAGGGGATATGGATCAGTGTGCCCAGCAGAGCGTTGACTGGGCTCATCCAAGTGAGAGCTACAAAACCACGTGGAGGTTACTGCCTAGCCAAGTGCTGGGCAGACGCTTCCCCAGCCCGTGGTCCGTGCTAGCTCATCACACTCACAGGGCAGCCAGGCCGAGGCCCAGGGAGACGGGACTTTGTCCCCGGCACAGCTGGGAAAGGAGAAGAGAATGAGCCGGTTTCCTACCTTGGGTCCCTTGGGGCCTCTCGGGAGCTTGTGCCCGGCTTTGCCTCGCTTGCCCTGCGCAACGAGAGAGAGCTGGAGCTTGTGAACAAAGCAACGTGCAAATCAGCAAAGGCTCCTGCCCAACCCAGCTCCTCATACAACAGCCCCTCACCCCTGGGTTGCCCTCAAAGTTCCACGCTAGCACACCCCAGCAGTGGCGTCCTCTCCCCAGCGTGACTGTATCCCACGCAGCCCGTGATGCTGCGTCCCCTCCCAAGGTCACCCTGCAAACTGCCAACACGGGACCGTTCGCACGGCGTTCGCGCCAGTCACCCGCGTGGAACCGTTGCTAGCGGCGCATGCAAAGCCGGAAGCTAATGCCACCTTACCCGTCTGCCAGGTTTGCCAGGGAGGCCCCGATCTCCTTCACGCCCGCCATCCCCCTGAGGAAACACGCACACGGCAAGTCACCAGCAGCTCCCACAAGCCGCCAGAAAGGGGGCAAAGACTCCTCCCAGCCACCCACGGGAAACCACAGGCGCCCGTGCGCTGCTCCAGCATCCCTGGCATTCAGCAAAGAGGGTGCCCAGCTGGCTCAGAGCCCCTGAGCAATCGGGACCCTGCGGCAGGCGCCCCTTTCACTAGAAATTGCCCCCATCAGAAAGAGCCTGCAGGGCCGAATGCACAGCCCTAGGCTACCGCACAGCAAGGTGGCGGCCCCAGAGGCGGGTGCTGCAAGTTCTCTGGGTGAAAGGAGCGATCCACATGAAGGACGTTACCCACGGTGGGGGTCCGGTGCCAGTGGTGCCCGTTACTCTGACGGGAGAGACCCTGGCTCCGGCCCCCCACAGCCGGGTGCTCCAGAGCCATGTAATTCCACAACAGGAGTGCTCCGTTCCCAGGAAGGGCCGTTCCCCCGCTGAAGAGCCGGGGGATGGGGGCTCCTCAAGTTACCTTTTCTCCTTTACGACCCCTCTGTCCCTCTGGACCCCGTGGTCCTGGAGGCCCCTGAAATCACAAGGGAGAAGGAAACATCGCCATGGGAACCCCACACACTCCCCAAGGGGGGGGGTCTCTTCAGCGATGCTCCCTAACGCAGCTCCCGCCCGGAAACGCCCCAAGCTCCCCCCCCCTTGGCTTCTGCTCCCCCCTTCCCCCTCCCGGGGTACAGTTGCAGACTCTCTCCCTTTGCTTCCTAAGCAGGCCTTGTAAAAGCCCAGGGGGTGGAGGGGAGGCATGAGACGTCACAGGGGTTGTTACTCAGCCTGAGAGCAGCCAGGTAAGTCTGCGAGCCCTGTTCCCTGAAGAGAGGGGACGGAGGGTAAACCAGGCGGGGGAGGCACAGCACAGCCTGCCCAACCCCCCAGCCTGGCCCCACCCATCCTCCCCCCCAGACGCCTACTGTAGGTGCACTGGGGGTGAAGTGTTGCTGCCCCCCGAATGCCTGCCCTCCCTGTGCCCTGGAGCTGGGTTGGCTGGGATCACACACCCTACGCCCTCCCTGTGGTACTGGGGGGGCGTGGCTCCCGTGGAGGTGGGGCCTCAGTAAAAAGGGGTGGGGCTTGCCTCTCCCACCCCACCTTCACCCCCCCACCCATGCTGGACAGGCATTGGAGTCATGCGTTCAGGGCAGAAAAAGTGCACGACACGGGTGCTTGCAAGGCAGAGGGGAGTGGCCGTGTTGCAAGCCGGCGCATGGCGTGGCTGCCTCTCTCTGTCCTCACCGTTCGTCCTGGTTCTCCCGGGTCCCCCCGCTTCCCACTCTCGCCCAGAGGGCCCTAGCGGAAAAAACAGAGGGACAATTGGTTACATTCCTATCTCCCGAGAGAGCTTATTCTTGTGAACTGTCCATCTAGACCCCCTTCGAGGGGGTCACCGCCTGCCCAGCCGTGCGCAGCCCAGTCAGGAATGGATCTTGTCCTCACGCCCCTCCGGAACGGTGACTATTCGTCTCTTTGACAGAGGGGGCAACTTGTGCTGGGATCCTGGTGGGAAGGGAGGGGGCCAGGGTCTAGGCGCTAGCAGGTGGAGCGGAGGCCGACACAGGCTGAGGAGCCAAGGAAAGGCAGTGGGTGGGCCAGGAGACAGACGGAGAACCAGTGGAAAGGAGAAGGGGGGCAGGGGAGACTGATGTGAGGAGGAGACGGTGCAGAGAGAGCTGGGGCCGGCTGGGCAAAGCCACTGGGACAAGAAGCTTTCGCACAGAAGGAGACCGTCTCTTTCCCGGCACAACCCGGTCCAGCCTGGGCCCTGAATGAGGCAGGAGTCCAGTGGCAGAACTAAGCTCACCCTCATGCCGTTAAAGACACATTGCAAAGCACGTGCACAAGGGGGCCAAATTAAGCTTGCACGGGCAGCCAGAATACTGTGCTTCCTAGTGCGTGGCTTTGCAATCTCAAGAACGCCCTTCTGGCGGGGACGTGCGCACGGTTCTGCCCAGCATCCACTAGTGCAGGGGACATGCCGCTGTGCAACTGAATTCCAAGTAATCAAAGGCAATCGGCTTATGTCGGTTATAAACTGAACGGAAGTTCTGAGCTCGATCCCAGCCACCCTCCCAAGCCCTGTTCACAAGCACGGCCCCCCACGAGAGCAGCTGCAAACCACCAGCTCTGCAATTATTCAAAACACAGTAAACAGGTCGACTCACCTCAACGCCACTTAGCCCTGCTGCGCCGGCTTCTCCAGGAGGCCCACAAGAACCCTGAATTCATTGGGGGAGAGGGGGACACGACTGACATGAGCTTCAGGGGCAACAGAGGAAAGACTGTCAAATAGTTAAAAAACCTACTTGGGACTCAAGGTTCTATTCCCGGCTCTGCCGCTGACCTTGGGCAACTCATGTAGGCGCTCTGTGCCTCAGTTTCCCCATGTGTAAAATGGAGATAATACCTCTAAGGGCAGTTACACAACTTGATTCACCTATATTGATCATTCTGTGCTCTGGAGAGGTGCAAGGTTATCACTGTATTTGGCTGATGCTTGGACTTCTGTCTCGGTCACCTCCTGGCAGACCATTCTCCCGAGGGGTAGTGACATCCACGAACGAGAGGGTTTGCACCCATCCCTTCCAAAGAGGCACATGGAAGGACTCAAAGCCCAGGCAAGAGAAAGGTCACTTTGCACAGACAGCTCAGCCCAGGACCCATTGGGTGGGACCAACCTGCACTAAGGCAGCCTATGGTGTACTTCCGTTACCGGCATCTCCCTTTGCAGGGTGCGGGCAAAGGGAGCTAAGCAACACGTGGGGATCTCTGCGAACTCCAGCAGAGCTAGGCATGTGCCGCAGCACTGAGAGAAGGGGCAGGGAGGGAAACCATCTCAAAGGATTTGCAGGAGGGAGGGTGGGGGATAAAGTTACCTGAGGGCCAATCTCTCCTTTTTCCCCTGCATCTCCTTTGGGTCCTGCAGGCCCGCCAAAGCCGTTGGGGCCTTGCATCCCGCTTTCCCCCCTGGAGCCTGCTGCACCCTAGAGTGCACAAAAGAGGGAGATGAAGCCGCCTTATGGATTTAATTCATAGCACCAACCTGACCCAAAGTGGTGTCATTGGCACAAGAGTGGAGAGGAGACACCTCTGTTCTCCATGGTCTCTTCCTTCAGAGGCCGGCTGTGGAAATGTCACAGATAGAACTTCGGGAGAACTATTTGGCCCTCTCATGGCTGAATTCCCCAACCTGGCACTTTGAGTGTAGGTAATGGGGGGCGGCTAGTGAAATAAAACCACTGTCAGATCCTGTCCTTGCAGCTCCCAGAGACAAAAAAAGTTTTCCTGATTTCATTTTCCCGTGAAATCCATTCGGTATTGCCACCACCAGAGAGTAGTAAGTGACCCCCCCCCCCTTTTCCAGGACAGAAATCACTTGGAATCACTTCCCTGAGGGCAAAACCCCAACCTCCTGAGGAAAAAACAAGCAAGAACACTCTGAGAGCAATGAACCTGCGCTCTCTCCGGTAACATGTCTGCAGCCAGGCACTTACGTAAAAGGACACAAAAGATCAACCAATACTGTTAAAAAGCAAAGCAAAGCAAAACAAAACAACCCCCACCCCCCCCCCAAAACCCCCAAACAAACACTTTTATTATTAAAACAAGACTATCACTGCAAGCGTAGTAAATGACTTGGTGTTAAAAGCCACGAATTGAAATAAAACTCAGGGATTCTCCCTGGGATGAATTCTTGGTTACAAGAGAGAAAAACAAAAGACAATTAACCAGCTCAGACATAATTTCCAAACCTCAAACAAGAAAAACAATAAACCTGACAGACTATCTAAACGTTTTCCAACTCACACATTCGGATGAATCCAGGGGATCTGTTTGGGGGGGAACTCATTTCTTCCCTCTGTGCCTGGAGAAGATCCCCCTTCTCTCTCAAATAAAGGAGACTGCTTCCCCCAGTTTGAAATTCTTAGCTGCAGGTGGTTGGCTGAATGTCCAGCCCTCTCCCTCAGGTGCAGAATAGCTTAAGGTTAGTTTAACCCTTTCCTCACTCTCTGGGTTCTCCTTTGCAGCTCCCATTCATGACAGGCCCATTGCACAAAGCCCACACAAAGCTTGCAAAACAGCGTGAGATACTAGCTGAACCCAGATGTAGCTGAATAAAGTTCAGGTGCCCAAGGATGGACAGCTGTGGACCTCAGTCATCAATGCAGTTTCACACGTCCAAGCCAGGTCTCCCTGTGAACTGGACATGTTCTGAAAACAAATTTGCCTTGCTGCTCACTGATGTCCAACTCTGGTCTAGCTGGGGTTGGGGTGGGGGTTTGGCTGAAACAGTCTAAGCAGCATTTCCCAGAAATCTTTAAAGTTTCCTTGTTTTTTTGAGACCATTAATTTCACATCCTTGCTTCTCTTCGCAAATGGAATTTATTGAACGAAAAAACCATTTTTTGTCATGGAGAGATGAGTTGCCAGATTAGACAATGGGAAACCCAGGACCCGGACAAGATTTATTTCTTCAATTAAGCTGCCCAGCATCACTAATGCATCTGCAGTGCTTTGTAAATGTCAGCTTTGCAATCATTAAATGTCATTAGGTTCAGCCGTTCATCAGACAGTCCATGGAGGGAAGCGGGGTGGTTATCTGGCCTTTTAAATTTGAACCAAAGATGAGGGTGAGCATTTTTAATAGGGCACTGCTCTCTGGGCACTGGGTGATCTGTGAAATGCATTTCTGGTCAGCTTTCAATTCAAGAGTCTTTGTTCTACGACAGCAACAATTAATCTAAATGTATTGTGCAAATTCTATGACAAAAACTAGCAATAACTGCACTGTTACAGCATCAGTCAGTCATGTGTCTTATTAGCAACTGTACTTCAAATGCCTTTAACAGATTATAGTTCGGCAGAAATCAAAAAGGACTTGATTGGAAAGTATTTATCTGAAAGGATCCCTTCTTGGCCATCCATTTACACTGTCCCAATGCAGAATAATTGCATCGTGGCATTGCCATAAACACAACCATTTTGTCACAAACTGGGACAATAATGCCCTATTTGGATCTAGATTTTGAAGCACCACAAAGCCAGAGATGTGAGGGAGGGCCAATTTCTCATGTCTCGTAACACAACAGCAACAGCAACAGCAACAGCAGGAGCTTATTTCAGCTAGAGCAAGCAAAAGGTTGCAATGACTTTTCATTTTGAACTGGAGACTTTTCTGTACACCTGAGTCCTGAGATATGGGCTGCTTCAGAACTGACCCGAAATCTAACCCAAAGCTGGAAGCACCCTGGAGGTTTGAAAAAAGTGTCAATTCCCAGCCTGCCTCAGTTTCGCCAGTGCTCTGATTTCATAGAATCATGGGGCTGGAAGAGAGCTCAGGAGGTCATCAAGTCCCGCCCCCTGCCCAAGGCAGGACCAATCCCAATCCCAATTTCACCTAGGGCCAGAAGAAAAATCCACAAGTATCTTATAGGCCTAAAAATCCACAAGAAGCTTGGCTATTTCCAGCCAAGGTGGAAATAAAGATGCACAACTGTGATGGATAGGAGTGCTGGCCAGCACCTGGTGACTAAGGGGTTAAACTCAGGAAGCTAGCAGGGGTGTTGGTAGGAAGCCAATGGGAAAGACGGTTGAAATGTAGATTGGCTATCGATACCTGGCTGCTTCTTCCTGTGTGTGAGTTCTAAGTTAAGGGCTCGTGCAGTACTCACAATTACGATGCCCCCAAGGAATATTGGGCATGGGAGTGAACTGGGCCTTGAAGCACAGAGACTGTGAGTAGAGAGGGGAATGTATGTTTAGTTGTTAGCAGAGAACTTTTCTTTGTTTTGGTTGTTTGGTTAAGCTTCTCTGTGTAAAATCCATGTGCTCTCCCATGGCGTTCCTCCCCCCATTCACTATTTAAGCTGTACCCAGAGATACTATGTTCTCTGTGTTTTGTTTTTCTCAGTTACTCTATAAAACCTAGCAACCAAGCATGCTTGTTTTCTTGTTAATAAAATAATCTTTTCTAAGGTGATGTGATTCTTGTGTCCCGGAAGGCAACAGGTATGTGAGTGACTGCCTACCCTGAGAAGTCAGCTAGCAAAGATACACTTTGTTTTCTGCATTTTCTTTTGTTTCTTTTTTCAAGCTCCCTTGTGGCAGAAGAGCTTGAGGTACCTCTGGGGAAGGAAGTCAAGTGCTTCTTCCTGGTTTTTTTTCCAGAGTTCTTTAAAATCACTTTAAAGACACTTTAAAGATTGTGGCAGCCTACCTCCAGAGTCAGTGTATCTGTGACTCTGGGGAGTTCTTTTGTATTTAGAGCCTATAGATGCAAGGTATTTAAGGGCTTTTGTGGACTCCCACCTTTTGCACTCAGCGTGCCAGAGTGGGGAACAGCCCTGACAGCAACCAAGCCTGCTGCCATGAGGTTCCAGCCTGATCGGTTGCCCTCGAGAGTTGGGACGGACCAGGTAAGAGTTGGTTCCATACAGTAGCACCCTCTTCCCTGGAGTAAACCATTAAAGGAAAACGTACGAAAAATCCGAAAGAGAATAAAGTGTTACAGAGCCAGGTTCAACGAGCAGCCACCTTAAAACCTGCCAGGAGCATCTCTGAATGAAGCCAGACCTGATGGGGGAACGCTCAGGAGCAGGACTTGGTACTTACGGCAGGCCCTGGCTTCCCTCGCTCGCCTTTTCTTCCAGCTTCCCCGGGGACTCCCTGCAGGAACATTTCAGAGTTAACGTGACTGACTCCCATGCACGGTTTGATGCATTCCTTGATATTGCCTATTAGGATGCTGCCAAGCGCAGCACCATGGAGAACTGGCTCCCTTGCTGGGAATCTCTGACCTGTAAATGAGTCTCTGCACACCCCGACTGGCTTTCATTTAGTGTTGGTGAGGCTCTAGGGGACCGAGTACAAGGGTCACACCGACAGGTAGAACCAACCCTGGGACCTCTTGAGCTTAGTGCACGACCCTCTGCTGCTTGAGCTAAAAGTCAGCTGGCTCTCAGCTAGGGCTGTAGAGCAAACTCACTGTCTCTCTCTCTCTCTGAAAGTGATCTATATGCCACTGCGCTGGACAATGACTCACACCCACCACCAGGGCTATAGGGGTGTGATCAGCTTGCTGGCTTGCACTGGGGGCCACGCTGCCACATCTTCACTGCAAGTCAAGCACTAAATAGCCCACAGCAAGAAAACTGCCCTGCCCCTTACAGCTGCTCCTTGTCAGAAGCACATGGATGGGAGGGCTTGCATGGCTGTTGTCTCATGGACAAATATGGCAGTAAAGAGGCTCTGTCTCCAGGGATGTCAGGCTACCCTGTTCGCCCCACCAAGGTGCTCTTGTCCCAGAGCTAGTGTCTGTAAGACGGCGATGGGAAACAAATGTGAAAGGGGCCCAATTTTCAGTGGGCGGGTGTTCAGTCCTTCCTGAAGTCTGGTCCAAGAACTGATGCATCCAACATCACTTGTCACTTCTGGCCAGGGGGAACTCTGCCAGTTCTCATTTCAGAAGCCAGCTGGGAGGAGTGTCTTGGGAAGGATGCCAGCAACAATTACCTCCAATCCAGCCACACCAGCTGGGCCAATCAGTCCACTGGGGCCTGGATCCCCCTGGGGAAAAAGAAGGGAAGAGTTCTTCTCCTGCCCTCTGGAACCTAGGCCACTACAACCTCTGTGGGGCTGACACACCCCTCACCCCTTTGATCCCTCGCACAGTCACTACTTTAGGATGAAGGGGGAACGGGTACGTAATATAGGACCTTGCCTTCATACTTCAATTCACCACTTATCAGGGGAGCCAACACACCTTGCCCAGGGCCCAGCGAGGCTGTGGGGGGTGATGGTTCTGTGCTCTCAGAAAGGGTGGGGTTTGGGGCAGAAGGGGCGGGGCCGGAAGCAGCCTCAGTCCCACCTGGACTGCAGTGCACTCCCCCAGCCCTGAGATCTGCCCGGAGTGTAGTAGCAGCAGGGGAAGCCTGGAGCCCTGGGCCTTTTTGAATTGCCAGGCCCGGGGCAGTGGTACCCTTTGCCCCTACACCTGTGGCAGGCCTGGCTAGACATCAGGTGCATGGGAAATGAGTGAGACAGAGGAAGGCGAGTTTTCCGTTCATAAATTCCCTTGACTTCTCTACAGCACAAGAGGAGGGCTCTTTACAGCTGTCTAAGGCCTCTCCGTACCCAGGAAACCAGCTCGGCTAGTCATCAAGCCGTGCCCGTCTCTCCCGTGTTATCTGGAAACCCCAGCTTGTCCACCTCTGACAGTTCATTATCTCAGGGCCATTGGGGGGTGGGGGGAGTTTATATCAGTTCTCAATACCTTCTCGCCCTCAGGGCCGACTAACCCGGGTGGCCCTCGCCTGCCAGCTTCACCCTGTTATGAAGGAAAAATAGATCACGTCTTCCATTCACAACAGCCATGCCCGAGGAGCCAATCGCCATCTGATGGTCAAGCAACATGCACGACTCCCCAGATTTCTACATCCAAGAGCATGCAACCAGCAAAGCAAGGAGGAATAGGACAAGTTGACCTACAATTGGTCCTCTGGCTCCAGCAGGTCCCGGAAGCCCGGTCACACCGACCTGACCCTGCAGAGGGAAGGGAAGTGTTACTTCTCAGAACCCTGCCAGAGGCTGCTGAATTAACCTAGAATGAGCCACTGCACTCAGCTGCCACTGTGACAGAGCCCACAAACAGGGACTCCACGTGGAAAACCCACGAAAGGCTGAAATCTAACCGCAGAAGGTTCACAGGGAACCAGGCAATTGTGTGGAAGGTGGCAGACCCATATGCATCCTACTGGGCAACATCAACATGACCAGCAAACACAAACGTGACCCTAACGGACAACCCCAAGAACACACCTGGATAGAGGACGGAAGACTCAGGGACAAAATCTTCTAAACTGGGAGCCAGAAACATGCCTGGATATTGACAGATCCATTTTTTCTGACCCCAGGAACTCAAACTTCTAGTGAGAGACTCAAAAACTAGCACTGAGACTTAAAAGCACCCACAGGAGCAGCCCCGGGGAGGAACACTCGTGGCTGTGTGTCAAGTGACGCTGGCTCACAATTTGGACTGCTTGCCAGTGGATAGTTTTGGCACAAAACTGCGCACAGTGTCAGATTCTTGAACACATCGGGGTGAAACCTGACCTGTCTCCGAACAAAATTTCTAATTCAAAATGAAATTTCATTGGATTAATTGGATAAAATAGAAACAGGACATAAAACATCATCAATTGTTGAGGTTTTCCAATTTTGCTGTGAACGTTTGGCATGGCCCTGGGCAAATAAATCCAAGAACTCCCCTATATACCCAGCTAGACCTAAACTCCCGCCCTAAGGGGAAACCCCCTGGGATTCAGGTCCTCACTGTACTTGCCAGTAAACCTTCTTGCCCCTTCTCGCCTCTAAGTCCCTTTTCACCAGTTTCTCCCATAATGGCACCTGGTCCAGGCATTCCAGGAGGGCCCCTAGGGCCATCGTCGCCCTGTTCATGAGTAGAAACAGATGTGTTATTAAACAGACCTGAATGAGTAAAATCAACTGGAGTTAAACGAGCCAACAATTAAGCGGCATCTAAATTAACACTTAATGCAGGTTTTAAACTCATCTTGGGTGGCAAACATGTGGCCCAACATCATTAACACGCAGCAAAGAGGATTATAAAAATCCCTGCTGGGTTCGTAAATCTCAGCTCTAAAATGACTGCATTCCAGTGTAATGGCAGATTAGCCACTGGGCCAGCGCTAATGGAAAATGGGCGTCTCCACAGCCCAACCAGCTCTGCCTGCCCAGCGCTCCTGCCAGAGAACAGGGTGAGTGCACAGGGGCTTGTCCCACTGTGCCTGCTGCTCCTGCTAAGGAGCACAGGAAACACCCAAGCCCTGGCTCCATTGCTGGGGGGAGAGTAGGGGACACTGCAGGTGGAAGTGGGAGAGTAGAAGGCCCCCAACTGCATTGGCCCAGGGCCCCACAAAGCCCTAATCTGCCTCTGTGAGCCTGGCACATCTCATCTGGAGACCAGGCGCTTTACAAAGGTGTGAGAGAGCAACTGGGACCAAGCAGGCCCTGAGAGGCAATGCAGGTACTTTAAAGGAAAACAGAAGAGAGGCTCCTCACCTTTTCGCCCTTGGGCCCTGGCTCTCCCATATCTCCGGGATCCCCGATGTCACCCTGCAAAGAAGCAGCAGCAAACTTTAGCTCCAGTTTGGTGAGCACCCATGTGCTGCACCAGGTGTGTCCTCTCCATGCTCATCAGTCCCCTACGCTGACTCTCAAGGGACTTCAACTGCTATGGCAAAGCATTCTTCAGCAGGGCTTGGAAGCACCACAAAGTCTGAGAGGTCATCAAGACCAGCACTGAGGCAGGACCAAGCAAACCTAGATTATCCTGAACGTGTTCTTAACATCAGCCAGCCTGTTCCTAACAACTTCCAGTGACAGGGATTCCACAATCTCCCTTGGAAGCCTGTTTCAGATCTTAATCATGCCGATAGTTAGAGAGGGTTTCCAGATGGTTAACCTGTGTCTCCCTAGCTATTGACAAGCCAATTATGTCTTGTCCTTCCTTCAATGGACATGAAACAATTAATCACAGCCCTCTTTGTATCAGCCCTTCTACTCGTAGAGATGTTGGGTGAATTAACAGGCCATGACGAGTTATAACAAGATCCAATGACTGAGAGATGTACCTAGACAACTTCAGATGGAAACTAAGGTGGACATTTTGAACAATAACAACGAGAAGTCCTGTAGCACCTTATAGACTAACAGATTTATTGGAGCACAAGCTTTCACGGGCAAAGACCCACTTCGTCAGATGCACATAGTGGAAATTCCAGAGGCAGGTATAAATACACAGGCATAAGAAAAGAGTTCCAATCAAGAGTAAGGTTAGAGATAACGAGGTCAATTCAGTCAGGGAAGATGAGGCCCACTTCTAGCGGCTGATGTGGAGGTGCGAACACCAGGAGAGGAGAAACTGCTTTTGTAGTTGGCTAGCTATTCACAGTCTTTGTTTAAGCCTAAACTGATAGTATCAAATTTGCAGATGCATTGTAGCTCTGCAGTTTCTCTTTGAAGTCTGTTCTTGAAGTTTTTTTGCTGCAGGATGGCTACTTTTAAATCTGCTACTGTGTGTCCAGGGAAATTGAAATATTTTCCTACAGGTTTTTGTGTATTGCCACTCCTGATATCTGATTTGTGTCCGTTTATTCTTTTACGTAGGGACTGTCCAGTTTGGCCGATGGATATGGCAGAGGGGCATTGCTGGCACATGATGGCATCTATTACGTCGGTAGCTGTGCAGATGAATGAACCCGTGATGGTGTGGATGATGTGGTTAGGTCCTGTGATGGTGTCGTTGGTGTAGATATGTGGGCAGAGGGGGCACCAGGGCTTATTGCAGGGATTGGTTCCAGAGTGGGAGTTACTGTGGTGTGGTATATAGTTGCTGGGGGGAATTTGCTTCAAGTTGGCGGGTTGTCTGTGTTTTGAACAATGAGGGTATTTAACCATGGGAACAACATATCAAGGGGTGGGGTGGATTCTCCATCACGAGACATTTTAAAATCAAGACTGGATGTTTTTCTAAGAGATCTGTTCTAGCTGAAGCAGGAATTAATGCAAGGAGGCCCTCTTCTCACCTTACAATCTATTACTAGGGATCACTGCGTTTATCTACTGTCAGGCTTCCTTCTATCCCAAGTTCCCAGAACAACAATGGAGGCTATTTTGCATGCAACGCACGTGTGTCATTTCAATCCCAAGTTGCATTTTCTATCCTCTGCCCCTGGCAGGGAGATCTCCAAGTGCCAGGTCTGTCGTTGTCACATGATGGAATTCTAGTGGTTTGTAACAGAATTAAAGCGCTGGGGCAGTTTCTGGAGGCTCATTTCTAACACTACTGTGCCTCTGAGGTGGGCAGGGCAGTGGTTTTAATCTCAGAGCAGAAGCAGAGCGAATACCGAGGAGAAATGGGTTGAAATTGGTAAGGAGGGAACTCCCAAGCAAGCGGGTGATGGGAGCCGAGGGGGCGGATGCAGAATCTTACACGTCCTTGGCCCCTCACGAGCTCACAGACAGAACTGCCATACTAAGAAGTTCAGAAACCCAAGGACAAATCTCTTCCATTTTAAATGGAAAATTGGGGTTTTGGTCTGAGAATTTTCACAAAAGTGTCATTTGTCCTAAAAAAACAAAAACGTACAGAGTTTTGGTTGGAAAACTGAAAATCAAATTTTCTTTTTGGTCACTGTTCCCGTCCCTTTCAATTTGCAGCCAAACGAGTCTCAGGAAAAAAGGTTTCTGGTGAGATGTCAAAAAAGCACTTTCCAATCAAACTCTCTCTGACACTCATTCTGCCTACAGGGTCCGAGCCCTGTTCCCACAGACACAGACATCAGGTATGCTGCCACCCTCGCAGTGGGATCTGAGCGCCCTCCATTCAAAATCCTAGGGACTTCCCGACATCTCTAGCTCTTCTTCCTTGCCTGGGTCAAAGCTCTGCTTGCTGCAGAAAAGAGCAGGAAACACCCAGGAAAATAACCTGCGTGGGGACTGCCAGGGCTGGTCCCCAGCTGCTGATCACAGCACACTACCCCCTATGTGACCACGCCATCCTCTCCCCCAGCCCTGACATGGCCTTCAAGCCCAGCTCAGAGCCCTGAGTTTAGCTGAGTCTAATAATCCAGCCATCCAAAGCATTTCTCCCTGGTTGCTCAAGGACCACAACTGCAGCCTTCTCTCATGGGTCACAGTGACATGGCTACCACAGTGCTGGGTCACCTGTCAGAGACGTACCTCTTTTCCTAGCTGCCCTGGTCTCCCAGGACGTCCCTTCGGCCCTTCCTCTCCTGGCTCGCCAGAGCCTCCACGGACACCTGGAGCCCCATGGATTCCTGCCTCCCCCTGGAAAGGAGGGAGAAGACAAGTATTACTATCCAGTGGACTTTACCAGCCGTGGTGTGGACACCTGTTGATTGTCGAACAGAAATAATTAAAAATGCCTCAGCAACCGGATAGATCCTACATCTGGAAAGCAGGGGCTAAGGCTGTTGGGTTCCCAATCCAGCTCTTGATAGAATATATCACAACGAATAAAGGAAAATTCCCAACCAGAGGAACTTGGGACACATGGCCTGGGCTTTCTTGAAGGGTGATTGTTCTCCCCTGAACCACAATGAGAGCACAAGGCGGCTGACTGCTGGGGCTGTCTGGAGAGGGTGGATTCTGGAGAGCAGTAGTGAATGACAAAGCAAAACTACGGCTACTGGAGGATGGTGTCTTCTGTCAGCTGCCAGGGATGGAACCCTTCTCCCCAGGCAACTACATGGAAGGAATCAGGTGCCCGACTCCCACTGGAAAAATCAATGAGAACTGGGTATCTAACTCCCTTAGACACTACTGAAGATCTTGCCCCGGGTGCCGATGGTAGTGATGGGTGAACTGCAAAAGCCTGGGCGGCTTGGCTGCTTATTCCCAACCCCACAAGTGTGCCAGGGGATGGAACCCTTCTCCCCAGGCAACTACATGGAAGGAATCAGGTGCCCGACTCCCACTGGAAAAATCAATGAGAACTGGGTATCTAACTCCCTTAGACACTACTGAAGATCTTGCCCCGGGTGCCGATGGTAGTGATGGGTGAACTGCAAAAGCCTGGGCGGCTTGGCTGCTTATTCCCAACCCCACAAGTGTGCCAGTTGGCCTCCAAAAAGCTGGAGAGCTCGTGCTTTCTGGTGGAGCTGCTGCAGAGCAGGAAAGTGAAACGCACTGGGGTGTTTTCCTCGTGCAAAGCAAGCCCAGCATGAAAGGAGAACGAAGGGAGGACTCTTTGATTTGCAACAGCCTCAGCCTTGCCTGTGGGGAAGGTGGATTTTTTTAAAAGTGCCCAGTTATTAATTGTAGGTAAAGGCCTCCCTTTAAGTTCCAGTTTCCGTGGTACAAGAACCCCAGAGACGGGATGAGAATAAAGGCCTGGCTCTGAGCCCAGGGGCGGGTTTGCTGCGCGCCAAGTGCCAAAGCACCAGGGAGCAGTTTTATCCGGGCTTCTGCCCACAAATCCCCGTCAGGTGTTAGCGTCACGCAAGGACTTGAGCTTCCTGAAGCAGGTTTTAGAACTCGTCTTGGGCACTGACCTGCTCGCCTTTGGACCCAGGCCGACCTTCCCCGCCAGGGAGTCCTGGGGAACCCTAATGGGGAAAACAGACCAGCTCGTGAGTTTACGCACCTATGAAGCGCGCGCCGAAGAGTAACATGCCTGTGACTCTACACTGAGAGGGCAATCTTGGAAGTCGCCCAGGAGATGACAACCTGGTGAGGACACCCATGGGAGCAGTAGGTGAATATCCCCACTTGGTTTTCTTTCCGGCAGGTTGCCATAGGGACGGCAGCCATCTTGTCTGACACTCTAGGGTCGTGGTTCCCAACATGGGGCACATTTGTGTGCGCCCGCCAAATGCTTGGGGCTGGCCTGGCCCCGGGCACGTGGCGCACGGTGAGCGCCGGCCCCGGGAGCGCCGCGGATTGGCCGCCCGTGCTCTTGGCGCGTGGAGCATGGGGGGAGCGCCGGCCCCAGGCGCGCGGCGCTTGGAGAGGGGGGCGTCGGCCCCGGCGCACGGCGCTTGGAGGGGGGCCTGTCCCCGGGCACGTGGCTATGGGGGGGGGCCGCCTCTGGCGCCCGGCGGGCGAACAGCCACGCCCCCTGGCGCCCGGCAACCTTAAATGGTTGGGGACCACTGCTCCAGGGACTGAACGAGGGAACTCCAGAGCTAAGAGCACGAGCTGCTACAGCTGGAGCTCATGAGCCACAAGTGACAGACTCCGAGGGGGACCTGCAACAGACACTCACCAGTGTTACACCCCCGCCTGCCTTGCAGACGTATCATCTGCCTGAAGGCCTGTCCTGGGGCTGCACTAATGCTCAACTCAAATAACTAAGCTGACCAGAAAGCCTTGGCCATCACAGCTTTTCTCTGGAACACGCAGCCCCGACTCTACTACTCCCAGCAGCTGGAAGGGAGACTGAAAAGTCCAGAGGGAGGGCTGTTAGAAGGGGACAGAGGCTACACTTTCTTGAGCTATTTACTGGTGTTGCCTAGTGGACTGAGCACTGGACTGGGATTCTGCGACTGGCCTGCTGGGTGACCTTGGGTAAGTCAATGCTCCGTGCCTCAGTTTCCCGCTTTATAAAATGGAGAGAATGATCCTTTGAGAGCTATGGATGAAAAGTGCTGTACCATAACCAGACATTCCCACCCTACCTGCTCTCCATCCAGGCCTCTGATGCCAGCTTCTCCAGGCTCCCCCACTTCACCCTAAAGAAACAGGACAGTCCCTAGAGCAGCTACTCCGAGTCGGAGTTTGCACTGAAGAGTCTCTGCCATTCAAACTTTCGCAGGACGAAGGACTCAACATCGCCAAGCTGGGACATCTGAGAACAGACGTGCTGGGAGAGTTTTCAGGGTTTGACTCTCCAGTGCAGCAGATGCTCCTACCTACATTTCTCCATGTTTGTATTCTCATCCCCGCCCCAGACAGTGGGGGTTGGGGCATGTGCATTAGCGTGTCTCAGCCTGGGTGGGTCCCCTCCTTGGTAAGCAGGACTAGCACTCATCTGGGGTGTGACCAGGACTGCTGCAGGCAAGCAACAGGTGCAGGAGAGCTGGGCTCAGAAGCGACTGGGCTTGGGATGCAATTCTTGCCAGGAAGGCAGAGGAGTGAGCCCATGGCACACGGCCACGTCGACGAGATGCAAAAGGGTCAAGTTTCAGTGTTACCAGAAGGAGGCTGCAGGGGGTGCAGGAAAGTGTCTGGGGCGATAGCTTCACCTCCTCCTGTCCCGCTAACCCTGCCACTTTGCCTGCATGGGGGTCCCAGCCCCTAGAGGGGACTGCACTGTGTTTGCCATAGGAAGAAGAATTCTAACACGTGCAGAGAACAATTCTGTGGTGACAGATTGCTTCTTGTTCTCCTCCCATCCCCAAGGGGGGTGTGCAGCGGTGCTGAACCTGTCACGCCCCAGCCCATGCAACTGCCCAGGCATGGAGCCAAGTGCCCCTTTCATCTCCTTACCTTCTCTCCTATCTCCCCCAAAGACCCTCCAGGCCCAGCTGGCCCTGCCTGGCCCTGCAAGAACAGGAACGGGATTAGCAAGCACATCCCAGTTCACACGGAGCTGTGTTGATGGAACACGCTGAGCACCACCCAGCTCACCGGCCAATGGGACGAGCCAGCCATGCGTGTCTATGTAAAGGCTTGTGTATCACCACCGAAGTCTCTTGTACTATATCCTGGTGTTCGCACCTTGGGCACAATCCACTGGGAAACTTCACGGCCACACCTGGTGCACTGAGTAACCCATGTTGAAAGAACAAGGGAGCTGGCAAAGGAGGCGACCATCAAGTATGGAATCTGTGAGTACGGTAATGAGTCCCTGATGGGCTACATTGCTACCGGGGTGCCAGAAATGCCCATCACAGACCCCGCCCCAGCCTACAGGTCCTAAAGGCTGAAAATCTGGCCTAGGCCATCTACACAGAGCTGGAGGAGTTTCCACAGCGACTGCCTCGGGAGAGCCTCCTGCTGTCGCCCTGGGCTACCAGAGACACAAGCAGTGAATACAAGGCAGGGTGCTGGATCATGGGATGGACCCTGCCAATCTCGCATGCAGAGCGGAGCATAAGGCTGTGGCATGCCGGGGGCCCATCGTAACCCCGTCGTCGGCAGGGCAAGTTATGCTGCTCAAGATTTTCAAAAGTGACTAGTTATTTGGGGTGCCACCTTGAAGCCCCTGAGGAGGGGCTTGCTTCTCTGACCATGCTGAGCTCCTGCCCTCTGGAAACCAGGCCCCCTTTGGGAGGGCTCGGGGGGGCTCCCAAAACCTGCAGCCAGTTTTATCTTTTCGTCGCGCGCCTGGTGCCCCTTCCGAGACATGAACGATTGGTTCCATTAATGCGAGGCTCAAAAATGGTGGGGGCTGACCCATGAGTGGGTTGTCAGAGGGCTGGGTGGGGTCGGCTGTACCTGCCCCCATCACTCTCTGCCCTGGGTGCAGCCTAGAAGTGCCCCACCCCATGATTTCACGTACGCTGGGCTGGGGTAGCAGGCAGTGGCATGAGGAGCAAGATCTTGATAGTCCAGCATGGAGGAATCAGCTGGGGTCAGCAGGTAGCTAGTCAGCAGCCTGATAATGACGGCCCAGCCACGGGGAGAGCGGCTGCAGGAGGACGACAGGCTGGGGCCGGTTAGAGCCAAGCAGGGGACCTGGGGTTGGAGAACTCTTGCAGCTGGAATAGCCTTGGCAGCCCGTATGCACCTCCTAGACGTGGCAGTCATTCTTGCACAGTGGTGGGTCCCCAAAGGACTAAATGCACCTGACGGGTCACCCCTGTAAAGTCTGGGAGCCAGTGCACGGATGCCCATGGCATGCCCAGATGGAGAAGGAGGGGGAAGAGCACGGTGCATTTAACATCACACATGGGTTTTATCAGGGGCTTGGGGACACCAGAGATTCAGTCCTGCAACGCTTAGGATGGACATGCAGGTTACTCCGCGGATCCTGGGGTAACTGGGTAAGGTACCTGGCAGATCTGTAGCTACACAGTATGTAACAGAGCCATGGAGTTGGAGGAGAGGAGACCTCTCCTTGGTCACAGCTCCCAGCTCATGGAGCACATCTGTAATCCCGCTTGTAAGCGAAGGGGCAACCAACGGGGTCATTCTCATGTCACACCATCAGTCTAAGAAATTAGCATCTGTACTTACTTGGTATCCAGCCAGTCCAGCAGCCCCATTCGGCCCCGCTGGCCCCTTTTCTCCTGGAATACCAGCCTTCCCAGGGATGCCATCTGGCCCCCGAATGCCTGGAGGCCCCTGTGCACAGGAAAGAACAATTATGCAACTACTGGTGCATGTAGGTGGGGAGATGTGCTCTCCAAACCACACACTCTCGGTGTTTAAGTTCCGACAGTCGGCCGCTGCACTGAGGTGCTAAGGTGAGGAGTGATAGAAAATCAGAGTCCCTCTATAGCTTCAATAACACCAAGGCTGACCATAAGCCATGCAGGCTTCCCTCCTGCGCCTTACCCTGACCCAGTGCGGCAGTGCTGTCTCCAGACCCATTCTATCGCCAGGGACTTGGGACATACGCCCACTGAGAGCCGGACTGAGACCTCAAATCATTTTACTCAGGGCAGCCCTCAGCCAAAAGACAGGGACAAATTAGTCTCTCGGAAGGGTATGGATGTCAGATAACAGGAGACTAGAATGGGGGTAACTGCATTAGCACAGCTATTGATCTTCCACTTACCAGCAGTCCCGGAAGCCCTCTAGGACCTGGGTCTCCCACTCTGCCCTGAAACAAATTGGTTTTACCCATAAGAGTGGAAGATTATTTTCTCTCATCTGGGCCCGGAAGCCACTGGTCTCATGCTGGGGGGGGG